CTGTGGGGTCTGAGACAACCAGGTGGGTGGCACTCCGGGTGAGGGGAGTTAACCAGCAGTGGGACCAGGGCCCTGGTTGCAGTAGGCTGAGCCTGCGGGAGCACATGGGAACAATGAGCATCAGTGATGAAGGCCTAGGCAGAGTGGGAGGGGCTTGGCTTGGGTTCAGCCTCCCTGCTGGAGGCCATGTCGAGAGCAGAGCCACTTTACCATCCTGTCTGTCCTCCTGCCAGGTGACAGACAGTGAGGTGAAAGCAGGGACCCTGCAGCTGACAGTGGAACGGCTGAGTGGGGCCCTGGTCAAGGTGGAAGAGAGCGAGGGGGCCTTGCGGGACAAGGTGCAGGGCCTGACCGAAACCCTGGCGCAGAATAGTGCCAGCCTTACCAGCACCCAGGACAAGAATCTGCACCTGCAGAAGGCCCTCACCGCCTGCGAACATGACCGCCAAGTGCTGCAAGTATGGATTCCGGGGCCTGGCTCGGGGTGGGCTCGGTGAGAGAGTTAGCCGCCAAGGGCAGGCTTGGAGGGGCCCTGATAGAGAGCCAGCCCCTGGGGCCATCAGTCGGGAACCCTAGGGAGCCAGTCAGTGAGGCTTGGAGGTGGGGGGGCCCAATAAAAGCATTGCCAATAAGAGGAGATTTGGGGGAGCAATAAGAGAATAAGTCTACTCATAGAGGCTTACAGACACCCAGAGGCAGGGTTGATGGGACAGAGTTGGGGTCCGAGGGGTCCCCACCTTATGTAGGTCAGTGGGCCAGGCCTGCTGTCCTCCTCGCCCTCAGATAAGATTTTTGAGCTGTTTTACGGGCTGTGACCCTGACCCGGAGGTACAGGGGAGAGGGAGCCTTTGCTCCATCCTGGCCCCATCAGCCCCCGTCCCCCAGGAACGGCTGGAGGCCGCTCGGCAGGCGTTATCCGAGGCACGGAAGCAGAGCGGCTCCCTGGGCGAGCAGGTGCAGACGATGCGGGGCGAGCTGGCAGACCTGGAGCTGCAGCGGGCGGAGGCAGAGGGCCAGCTACAACAGCTTCAGGAGGTGAGGGCCGGAATGGGCCTCTTCTGTCCCCAGGACGCTGAGGCCCTCCGGATGGAGTGGGACCTTCCTTATCCCAGCCTCCTCCCAGACCCAGGCCCAGCCTCCCCTGGGGAACCCTGGTTCCTTCAGCCCACACCCCCATTACACAGATGGAGAAGCCGAGGCCCGGAGAGGCGGCCTCAGGTGATAGGTGTCTGCCGTGGGCCTCCCAGCCGCCCTGCCGAGCTAAGGGCCGGCGGCGCTAGGGGCTTGCTGGCTTCTGCAGGTGCTGCGGCAGCGCCAGGAGGGGGAGGCTGCAGCCCTGCACACGGTCCAGAAGCTGCGCGACGAGCGGCGGCTGCTGCAGGAGCGCCTGGACAGCCTGCAGGCCGAGCTCGCCCAGCTGGAGGCCGAGAAGCGGGAGGTGGAGCGGTCAGCGCTGCGGCTGGAGAAGGACCGGGCGGCCCTCAGGAGGATGGTGGACAAGGTGGGCGGAGCCTCCAGGGCCCTCCCCTCCCTTCCTCTGGGTCCTAGCCGGGGTTGCGTTTGGCCGCGTGTCCCCAGGGCCTGGGGGCCTCGGGTGCTCCCTGGCCCCCTGGTCTTGCTGCCTCTAACCTGACACCCCTCCCTGAGCCCCCCCATCTCGGCGGGACCTCCCTCCTTCCCGGGGCCCCCTGCTGCCCTCCTGCTCTCCCTGCCTAGGTGGAGCGCGAGAAGCTTCGCAGCCACGAGGACACGGTGCGGCTGAATGCCGAGAGGGGCCGCCTGGACCGCACGCTCACGGGGGCCGAGCTGGAGCTGGCTGAGGCCCAGAGGCAGATCCAGCTGCTGGAGGTCCAGCCCCCGGCTACCCTCTCTCCCCCGAGCCCTGGACCCGGACCCCCACCTCCCGCCCCTGCCCTTGGCCTGAGTGCTGAGCTGTCCCGGTAGTTGCTGGTGGCTCAGCCGGCCCAGGCCCCTCAGCCTCCATAACCAGTCCGGACCCTTGGAGGGGGGCAGCCCAGAGCCAGGTCCCAGAGGGAGAGGTCCTCCCCAGCGTGGAGAGAAAAGAGAAGCCAGTTAGCTGTGAGACTGTGTGCGCGTAGGCTGTGGGCACGCAGGGGTGTGAGTGTGCCTGGGAGTGTTCTCGTGCATGTAGCGTGAGTCTTGTGCACAGACGTGGCAAGTCGAAGTATTAGGAACGTGTTTTACGTGTGTGTGTCTTTGTGTACAGACGTCTTCCTGTATGTAGATGTAGCAGCAGTGTTGGGCTTTTGCACATATGCGTGCATCCATGTGAGCTCGGTGAGTATTTACGTGCTTGCTTTTGTGCCCGTGGGGGGGCCTGTCTCTGTGTTTGACCACGTCTGCGCGTGGGTGTGCCTGCCTGTCAGTGGGGCTCGCTGGGTACCCTGAGCCAGGCTTCGCAGACCAGGTGGGCCAGGAACGTGGGGGACAAACACGGATCTCTCCTGCACCCCCATCTGCACTGACTTTGCCCGGAGGGGCCTTTAGGCTCCTGGGAGGTGCCCGACATCCCCTTGCATGCGCGCACACACACACACACAGGGCCAGACCCCTGACTAGCCACCCCGCCCGCAGGCCCAGGTGCAGACAGAGCGCACGCTGGAGGCGCGAGAGCGGGCCCACCAGCAGCGGCTACACGGGCTGGAGGAGCAGGTACCCAGGCCCCTCCGCAGGATGTGGAAACGTGGGGGGAGCAGCAGAGGGCTGGCCGCGACCCCCGTAGAAGCAGTCAGCGGCACCCATGACTGAAATGGTCCGGACACGGGCTCAAGTGATGTCATTGGAACTCTGTCCTCGTGGCTGTCCGCTGGGTGGCACAGATGGCCCGAGCAGCCCCAGCCTAGATTATCCCAGCAACCCACCATCCTAGAGGAACGGGGGCGTTTTTTTCCTGAGAGCAATAGCAGAAGTCCCAGGGATGATCCTTACTGGCCAGCGTGGATCCCAGATCCCTGACCTGACCTGTGCATGGGTAGGCCAGGCCTGGGTCATGGGTCCCCCCAGTCGGGCTAGCGCCAGGCCTACTTAAATAATGAGAGTGGGGACAGGTGGCCCCTGAAGAGATGCCGAGGAGCGGTCAGAAGACAGCCAGCTGCCCTGTGAGACGGAATGGGAGGGGAGAGAAGCATCCTGGTGCTTCATGAGACCCACTTTTTCCTGAAACAGGCAGGATCAGGTCCCCTGTGGGGCCCCAGCTGCAGCCACCCCCATTTCTCTGACATCAGGCAGGGGGCCTGGGCTGGCCGGGCTGGCCTCACCTTCTCTTTCTTCTCCAGGTGTCCACGCTGAAGGGACAGTTGCAACAGGAGCTTCGGAGGAGCTCAGCATCCTTGTCCCCCATGTCTGGCCCCTCAGGGGAATGAGCCGAGCCCCTTCCTGGTGGGCATCCTGGAGAGCAGCAGCAGCCATCTGTCCACGCGGTCTGCCCTGGCCCTGGCCTGTCCGGGCCACCAGAACTCGGCTGGGGGTGGGGAGGAGCCAGGTGGCAGCACCGAGGGCTGAGGGCCGGGGACTCCAGCAGCAGCTTCTTGGCATCATCCGTGGGTCCCACCTCGGTCTGGTCCCTCCCCTGGGATGAGCCTCCAGGTCCCATGAGAGCCTCCCTGAGTGGCTGAGCCGAATCCGGGGGTCACAGAGGCCCCCTTGCCTCTGGCTGGCCCTGGAGCATGGACTCACAGGAAAGAGGAGGGGAGCCTAGGAGTCAGAGACCCAGGCCTTCCCCCAGCTTTCCAGAGCTCTCTTTGCCTTAGTTCAGAGTGTGTGTCAGGAAATTCCTCAGAGTTCAGAGTCCCTGTATTTTTATACCTTTTTCAGTGTTAACGGTTCAGAACTGTTTTTTGTAGCAAGGAGACCTCATTTTCTAAAAACGGTTTGTACAGACGCGTCTCTTCACTTCTGCACCTGAGAGATGGTGGGGGGAGACACTGGGGCCTGAGCTGGGAGGGATGAGGCCCCTGGCCAGGGGTGCACGGCGGGGTGGTGGGGCTTGAGAAGGGCTGTGGCACTTCCCAGCCTCACAGAATGTCGGCGCGGGGAGGGCCCCGGGGTCCCGTGCCACCCGTCCCAGGTAACAGATGGGGCCGTGACCCAAACTGCACAGCTCGACTCCTTCCAGCTACAGCTCTCTGGCCCCTCCTCAGGACAGGGCCCCCCTCTGGACAGTGGCAGGCCTTCCAGGCCTGGGAGTGACCCTGGGGTTTTGTCCTGGCTCCGCCCAGTGAGCCCGGCGAAGCTGCACAACTTCTCAGAGGCTCGGTTTGCTCGTGTGTAAAATGGGGACGCGCCTCAGGGTGGTTATGAGGAGGTACTCAAGCAAGGTGCTCAGTGTTCGTGAGGAGAAATTCCTGTCCTCCCTGGAGTCCAGTGGAATCAGGTTCTGCCCCAGCTCTGCCACCTCTAGCTGTGGACGGACCCTTGGTGGGTCACCTGCTGCCCCTGGGCGTTCTGTCTGTAAGACGGAGACATTCCCAGGCCCGTTGGGAGGGGGTGCTGGCCACGCACGGGGCGCCTGGTCCTCCCGAGCTGGTCAGAGGGAGGCATTCTAATGCCTTGCCCTATTTCTGCCCTCTGAACCGCCAGCCTTCCCCCAAAGGTGGATCTGAGTCCACCTGCCTTGACCTCCTGCTTTATATCCTATGTGCATCTTTATGCCTCCATGTGGGCGGCCTCCCGTCTTGGCTTGTACGCCTTGTACCCCTCTGATGACAGGGAACTCACGCCCTCACCAAGCAGTCTGAACAATGAGGAAGCTGTATCCCCCGCCATGCCCCCACAGACCCTGGGAGGAAAGTTGTCCCAGTCCATCTTTCTGGGGGGGGGGGTCCGCTGAAGCCGGTGGGGGAGGAGGCAGGACTGGGACCGCAGAGGCAAGGCCACAGGTCACCCGAATGGTCCCTTCTCCCCAGGCAGCCTCTCAATGAGGACAAGCAGTCGGAGGCAGCTGGCCACCCGCTCTGGCTCCCAACTGAAAAATGACTGAATCTTTTGTAAAAACAATTTTAATTTTATATAAAACAAAGGTGGTCTATGCCCGGGAGCTGTAGGAAATCCAAGCAGACCAGCTGGGGTGAGGGGCATAGCCTACCTTGAGGGGCCAGGGGACTGTCCTCAGAGGGACTGAGAAGGCACATCAGAGGCCCAGGTCCCACCCAGAGGCCTGGGATGCCCCTCATCAGGGGGCGAAGAGTGGGGAGCCCCCCTTGTGCCGCAGGGGTGTCTGCAGGCTGGGAGAGGGGCCTGAGACGAACCCCCAGGGCCACAGTCCACTAACTTTTTACAGAATAAAAGGGTTGTCAGGCTGGGGAGAAAAGCACCAGGTCAGGCAGGGCCTGAGGGCCCCGGATCCGAGGAAGGTCCAGGGCGGGGGTGGGGGATGGGGGGGTACCAGCTCCGCCCTAGCAGCCCCCGCAGCTCCTGGCACAGGAGGCCGCCACGGATTGACACAGCCCACTGCTGGCCATGACACCACATTTGGAGAACTTGTCCCGACACAGGTCAGCTGCGGTGGGGGCAAGGAGCTGGGGTCAGGGTGGGGCCGGGTGACGGAAAACCACTGGCCCCTTCTCCACCCTGTGGCAGGGAATGTTCCGAGGCTGAGCAGCCAGGAGGGGGCTCAGGATCCCCCCTGAAGTGGCCCTGGCGCAGAACACATGCTTAATCACCACCAGGTGGGAGGGTGGGGGCGGGGAGGGGTCTAGGGGTGTAGGCCTTCCTACCTCGGAGGAGCTCCTCGTGGGCACAGACCGTGCGGACACAGATCTCCTTGTTGACCACGTACACGCGGCGGAGGCTGGGGATACGGAGCCGGGCGTCACCCCACCCTCACCCAGCCCCACTGGGGCAGCCCGCGCGTCCCGACCCCTCCGTCTGGGCTCAACTTCAGGATTCGCGCTTCCCTCAAGTCCCACCTCGGCCGGGTGCTGCCGCCCGCCCTGTGCCCCCGCTGCACCCCCTGCCCCCCCCCCCCGCCTGTGCTCACCTGTAGAAGCAGACCTCATTGAGACACTGTTTGCAAGGCTTGTGGATGGAGTAGAGGCGGGTGCATGGGTACTGCTCCTCACGGCAGTCTGGGGGATGGGCGGGATCAGACGGGGGGGGGGCTGCAGCCTGGGGCCCCGAGCTGGCGGGGGGCCCCAACTTTGCCCACCAAGCCTGGCCCTCCTATCAGGGTCTAGGTCCACCCTGCGCCCTCCGGCCCGGGGCGCACACGCACACGGGCGTGCACCGATGTCAGCCTGGCCGGGCCTCGGGGGGCTGCCCGATTTTGTACAAGGTATTCATATGTGCACAGAGCAGCAACCACACTTGGAAGCACTTACTAGGACACGCATAAGCTCAAACACGCCCACGCCCACACTCACATGATCACAGGAGTCCACACCAACCCTGCGGGCAGGGCTGTGCACGCTCACAGGACCGCACCCTAACACTGAGCTCACGAGGGGGACAGCGGCCTCGCGCTCCGGCTCCCGCAGGCTCGTGGGGGCAGCACAGGGGCTCCGCTCTTGGCCTCACCTGTCCCGGGCACCAGCTGGGCCTGCTGGCCGGCAGGCAGGAAGCCCCCTGCACGCTCCCTTCCTCTCCCCAGTGTCTGGGGGTCGAGGGCCCTTCCTGAGCCTGCAGCCAAGCCCGGGGGCAAGGGGGTCCCCCAGAGCCCGAGGGGCCCTGGAGTTGCTGGCCTAAAGCAGGGGCATGTGTGCAAGCCACTGACCCTACCATCTACCCAGCCAAAGCCAAAAGCCCGGCTGTCCCCGTCCCACCAGCGCCGCGCCCCACTCTACCCCGACTCCTGGGGCCGTGCCTCTGTTTCTCCAGCTGTCAGGGAAGCTCTTACCCAGAGGCCCAGGCTCCGTGGGCTCTGTCTCCACATTTCCTGGAGCTGGTGTTGGGAGAGGGGCAGGCAGAGATCACTGAGTGGGGTCCATTCAGAGCAGCTGCCCCACCCTGGCACAGACCCGCCACTCCCAGGGCCGTCAGGAGCTGGAAGCCTACCTATGGTGGGGGCCGCGATGACTTCCTGTTGGACTTGCTGCTGGGACTGGAACTGGAACTGCTCCGCGGGGGGCCGAGGAGTCACCTCTGAGACGGGGCACGATCAGGTGGTCCGCTCCATTCTCTCCAGCCCCGCATCCAGCTGCCCACCCACCCGCCCTGCCCCGGCCCGGCCCGGCCCTTTACCTTGATAATCATAGTAGTCCGGGTTGTCTGAGAACAAAGACGAATACGGAATTGTGGGGGGTCGGGTGAGCTCTCAGTCCCAGGGGCCAAGGAGGTCACGGCTAAACCCAGGACCACCCCCTAGGACTCCCACCTCCCTTCCCACCGGGTCCCCAGCTGAGTCAGGCACACCCGGCAGGGTGTGGGGAGACCTGGGCGGGGCAAGGCCCTTACCTATCTGGTCACTGTAGTGGGTGTACTGGACGTGGTCTGGGAACGGGGGCAGTGGGTCTAGGTCATATTGGCCCTGAGCCAGCAGGCCTGCTGTGAGGAAGCAAAGTATGAGGGGGTGCCCTGCAGGGCAGGACAGCAGGGGCCCCGAGGCACATCTGGGGAGGATGAGTAGAGGTCCCAAGGGCAGGCCGGCAAGACCCTAAGATTCTACAACTAGACTCTTAGATCCAAGGGATCCAAACTCCTTCTTCAAGCACAAAGGTCCTTACACTCCTTGTTCCTCTGTCACCTCACTGACCTTTTTTGGCCTGTCACCCCCATGCTGGCTTCCTGGCTATTCCTGGAACTCAGCACACTCCTGTCTGCCCCAGGGCCTTTGCACTTGACTTTCCCTAGGCCTGTGATCTTGGTTAACTTCTCCTCCTTCAGGTCTCAACTAAAAACTCAGTCCTGCCAAGAGGCCCTCCCTGGCCCATCCACCCTCTCCATCCCGTTCTTCTGTTTCCATCACAGCACTCGACACATTGACATTTATCACATGGACTTGATATGTCAGCTGCCCTTCCCTAGACGGGCAGCAACGAAGGCAGGGATGTGTCTGCCCGGTTCATCACTGTATCCCCAGAGTCTAGGCCGGTGCCTGGCACATAGTAGGAGCTCAACAAGTATCTGTTACATTAATAAATGTTAGACTTGGCAGGGCCTTTGATCCCCACTGATAACTCCTCATTTGACCAATAGGGATCACTCCACGGTCAAAATTGTATAGGGTGGTTGGGTCCCAAATGGGTCTAGAACCCAGACCTCTCTAGAGACTCCCTGCCTTGCGTACCTCTCCCTCCTACACATCGGCTCCCAGGAGGGTCAGTACTTTAGAGGAAAAGCATGGGCTCCCAGTGCCTGGGTGCATGCCTACTCTCCAGAGCCCCAGCCTGGCTGCTTCTGTGGGGGGTTGGGATGAGGGCCCGGGAGGTGCCTCCAACTTCAGGAGGGGTTGGCCAGTCCAGTCTGTGGTCCAGGAGGCCGGAGGCCCTGCGACCCGGGGAGCTGAGTTCTGGCCACAGGGCCCAGTAAAGGCTCACCGCCAGCTCCCAACCTCCGCCCATGCCGGGGGCGGGGGGAGCCCCCCAGCCCCAGGAGCACTTACCAGGCAGGAACAGCAGGAAGAGGTAGGCAGCTCTCATGGCTACGAGGTGAGGCAGTCTGGGCTGGTGTCGGGACAGCTGGAGGAAGAGGAGGGGCGAGCTGTAGCTCAGGCCCACTCACCCAGGACTGCGGAGCCCACCTCCGCTCCCCCGCATCTAGCCCAGAGAAGGAGGCGCTCGGAATGGAAGCCTGGCATAGGGAGGGCCAGGAGTCGGGCGGGGCGGGGCAGGGGGAGCTACTTTGGAGGGCCATCTGCTGTCCCCTGTGGCCCACTGGGTGTTCAGGTCCCAAGGGACAAGGCCTCCAACCTTGCTGCAGGGTTGATCCAGCAAAGGGACAGAACCCACCCTGCCTTTCTCACTAAGGGGCCCTTTCTAGCCCCCCACTAGCCTTGACTCCACTCTCCCAGCCCACGGCCATGCCCACCTTCTGACTCAGCGCCTTCTGGTGTCTCATGCACTGATCATGTGAACCCCTGACCCCAGGCCCAACCTCAGGACCCCGGCCCCGCTCAGCCACCATCACAGCCGGGACTCCGCAGCGTCTGCCAAACCCACAACCTGCTCCCAATTAGCCCCCGGGCCCTGAGTGTCTTGCTCTGCAGGAAACCACATGCATGCATGGGCCCCAGGGGCCGAAGGGCAGCCAGGCCTGGGCAGGGCTCCCACCCCCAGAAGATTCCTCTCCTGCCAGGCCTCCAGGGCCCCCCCTCCTAAGACCTGGCTGTCTTCATCACAGGCTCACGAGACTAAGGTCTATTTGTCTGCAGCAGCAGGAAACACTTAGGGTGGAGTCTGAGGAGAGTTTCTCTGGATCCTAGAAGGGCAGTGCTGGAGGGACTGTGATGTCACCCGGCCCAGGGGTTCTGAGCTCCCTAACACTGTATGACAAGTGTTACACGGGTCATTTTGCGGGGAGGGAACAGTGGTCCTTAGCCTTCACCAGGCTCTTGAAGTTCCAGAACTGCAGTCTTTGGCCACACCGTGGGCTTGGCCGGGTCTACAGGTCCCCGTGTGCAGTCCCGGCTCAGTGGGAGGCAGTCTCCGGACTGTCATCCTTCCGCCGCCGACAGTGCTGGGAGAGAGCCCAGGGTCCTCCCAGGAGGGCCCCTCCCACCACAGCGAAGGGAGTTCTTCCAGACAGCTAACTGGACCCCTAACTGCCCCCGGGCGTCTAGGGAGAGGGGAAGGAAACGTGGGCATCGGTCCCTCTTCCCTCCCAATCCTGAGCCTTCCGGGACCCCCTGCCTGGCTCATACATTCACCACCTCCCTTCTTTACTGGGGTGGGGTGGGGTGGAGGAGATGAGACCCATGACTCAAGCTGCCCCAGAGGCAGGGCACATCTGGCTCCCCACAGTCCCATTCTGAAAACCCTTGGCCTTCTCATGGTAGGAGGGACCAAAAGACCTGGAGCTCTTTCCTTGTAACTCCCCACAAGGCCTCACTATCCCCTCCTTGTCCCCATGGGCTGGTGGCAGCCAGGCCAGTTGGAGCTGTCACCACTCGGGAGGAGGCCCTGAGTTGGGGCCTAAGGGGTCTTAAGAAGTGAGGTGGGAGCTGTCTGTCCCCCAAACCCTTCCTAGGCCTCTCAGCCTCCTGCATGGAGTCTTCCTCCCCAGGAAGTTCTGGCACCCAGGCCCAGGCTTATTGGGGGAAGGGGCCCCAAGGGCAAGGGGTGTGGGAGTAACGGATCCTCCTGGGGGGACCACATCTCCAAGCACCTCTGTCTAGACTATGGATTTTGGGGTGTGGGGGAGGCCGGGACCTGCCTAGGAGGCAGCCCCCTTCTGGCCCCTTCCACAGCTGGGGACCCCACCCCAAGCGATCGTGGGCAGGAGGGGATGAGCGGGGCCTACTCAGAGCCCGGGACCCCATGCTCCCGGGGCGAGGGTGGGGGGGCGCCCGTTGCGGAGCGGCAGGGGGGGAGACCAGATGTGGCGGCGCACAGCTGGGAACAATCAGCTGCAAGCTGGCTTGGCAGCTCCCTGCGCCCTCCCGGTCCCGGCTGTCCCTTTGTCTCTCCGCGGCTGTGGCCCGGCCGCTCCCGCCGACGCCTCCACCCCACCCGCGGCAGTCCAGCCTCCCGGGGCGAACGAGAGCCCCCCCGCGCCCCGACGCCCCAACTCGGGTTCCCCCAAGCTCTTCCGAACTCGGGCCCCCCCTCCAAGCGACTCCAAAGTCCCCAAGTGCCTTCTTAGCATCTGCTCAGACGGCCCCGGGGTTCAGGAAGCCCGGCAGCCGCCCCCAGGCCCGGGGGCCTGCGGAGCCCCGCACCCCAGGCCCCCCCACCCCCCGGGGCCCCTTAGTGGCCCCCGCCGCCAGGCCCGCGCCTACCTGGTCGGGTCACTCCGCCGCCCGCTCCGAGTCCGCCCGCGGAGCCGCCCCTCCGCCCGCTCCGAGCCCCCCTCCGGGCCCCCGACGGGTCGGCGCCCGCCCTCCAGCCCCGGAGCTGCTGGGTCCTAACGCGAGCTCCGCCCGCCCGCCGCGCCCGCGGGGCTCCAGCCCGCTTCTGGGGCGGCACTGGGGGAGGCGCCCCCGGGGCCACCCTCACGTCGGCGCGCAGACCTCAGGCGGGCAGAACGCCGGCCCCGTTTCCTCGCCACGTCTGGGCTGCGGTCTGGTGTGAGGTGCGTTTTGGAGGACGTGTTACCCCATTTCACAGAGAAGGAAACCGAGTCCCCCAAAGGGGATTCGCCCACGGCCACGCAGCTCTCTCCCCTCTGGCTTCTCTTAGCTTCCGTCCGGGACAGCCTTTCTGACCTGTTTTCCCTCCTGCCTCTCTGGCAACGCCTCCTGGGTCTCCCTAGCCAGCTCCAGGTGGGGGCTGGCTTCCAGAATCAGCACTGCTGTCCGCCGGTGCACCACAGGGTACCAGGCCTGGCCCCAAGAACGTCCCCAAGGCAACAAGGATCCAACGAGGATCCAAGTCCAAGTTCATGCCTCCTGACTGGCTCCGGGAGGGGTCCCCATCTGGGCAGCAGTACCAGCATCCTTCCATCCCTCAGGCTTCCTCCCTTGCTCTCCGCCCCTGCACCCAGCCCAGCACCCAGCCCAGCACCCTGCCACTAATCCCGCTTCACAGAGATTGAGTCTGGGCACTGCCCCCGCTGTGGTGTAAGCCACCATTAGCTCTTGCCTGGACTCTGTAATAACCTCTCATCTAGGCCTTCCCAAGTGGGCTCTGCCCTCCCTGACCCCCTCAGACGCTGGCCCCCTTCTCCTTAGAGCCTTTTGCTGGCTTCCCATGGCACCTGGGAAAAAAGCTAAACTGGCCTGTGACACCCCCCAGGACCTCACCCTTCATCTCCGTCTGGCTCTGCCTCCTCATTCCCTGCCTGGTCTCCCAGAGGCCACGTGGCCTTTTGGCAGTCTCTCACTAAGCCCTTTCCTCTGCTGCCACAGGACTTTTGCTCAAGCTGCTGCTTCCTCCTGCAACACCGATGAGGTCCGCCTCCTTCAGGTGATAGACCAAACCCTCCCTTCCTCAGAGGAGCCTTCCCTTTCTCCCTGTTCCGCCCCTAAGCACCTTCTGCTCTGCGGCTCACAGCCGATCCCTTGCCCTACGTCTGTGCCCATTTGAATCCTGCTCCTCTCCCACGTGAGCTCGTGAGCTACATGAAGACAGCGACAAAGTCTGTGCTCATCCCCCGTTTATGCTCATTAGGCACAGTGCCAGGCTCAGAGCAGCTGTTCAGTAAACATTAATGGAATGAATGAATATGCATTCAATTCTCCTGGGAGAGACTGGCTGGGTGGGGGGTGTCGGTCCCTGCCTCTGGGGCAGACCTTCACCCTGCCTGGCCCGGGGAGCCCATGCCTGAGGCGGCAGCTCTGGCTGGGAAGACATGGGGATCTCCTTGCCCCCAGTCATGCACCCCACAACTGCCTATCCCTTAAACTCTGAATCCTATTAGGCAGAAACTCCGTATGTCCCATGCATCCTTTGTTCCCTGGTGCTGGTTTGTCAAAGGAATGAATGAATGAATGAATGAATGAATGAATATCTGCCACCCCCTCTCCAGGGTCTATCACAGAATAGCAGGGACTTCTGTTACCTGGAGGCCTGTGGGCCCTGGGGGCCAGCACAGCCCTCTGCACCCTCCCTTAGCCCTTGGCTGCTGCCAGCCACAGTCCCACTAGGGTAGAAGGGGACACCAGCTGGCAGAAAGGCTGTCCCCTACACTCCTGACAAAAGGGGGAAACGGAGACCCCAAAGCTTCCCACTCTCATGTCGTGGCCCCCAGATCCTCTCTGCTGCTTCCACCCCCTCCCCTGGCCCTAAGGACCCAAGCAGAGGCGGCAGTTCTGCAGGGAGGGGCTGGTGGGAGTGGGTACTCTTCTCCTGACGGCCTCGGAGATTCGCTTCTTCCCTGCTCCCCTCTCCCACCGGGTTACAAGCTGTCCACGGGCAGAGGCCAAGTTTCTTGTATACCGTCCGATACACGCGCGAGTAAATTGGCGAAGGGTAGAGGAGGGATTCCAACCCAGGCCTCTCCTGGTGTCCTCCGGCCTCCCCTTGCCCAGCACCTGCCACCCCGAACTATTGCTGGTTGATGACGCCGTGCCCGGTGCAGAAGGTCTGTGGACGCGCCTCATCGTATAAATTGCTTTTTCACGCCCCACATCCCTGCCCCGCAGTTTGAGTCCACATTTACTGAGCTCCTGCGAGGGCAGGCCGCGTTTGGCGCCGGGGCTTCCGGTAATGAGGTCGGCGGGGGCTTCCGGAGGGCGGGAAGCCGTCTCTTTCCTGCTCCCTCCTGCCCCGCACCGACGGGCCAAATGACCGAGTTGCCTCTCCAAAGTAGGGCTTGGCCAGTGTCCCACTGGTGGGATGAAGTCAGAAGCACCCACCCTTCCCCGGGGAGCAGGGCATGTGGTTCGGGCTGGGAGACGTGGGCTCAGAGCCTGGACTTTCATCGGAGCGAGGAGCCAGACCACAAACTCGTCTGGGGGGCAGGGCACGGGGGGCAGAAGGGAACCGACCCCGTTAAAAGTCTCGGAGGCTCTGGCACTTGTGGGAGGCACGGCCCTTCTCTTGCTGCCCCCACAGGACGATAGGAAGGAAGAGCGTGGATGCTGGAGTCCGAGCGATCTGGCCCCACCTCTAAGTGTGGGGCCACTAAGCCTCAGTTTCTGTATCTGTAAAATGGGGATAAGACTGACTCTACAGGGCGCCTGGGTGGCTCAGTTGTTTAAGCGACTGCCTTCGGCTCAGCTCCTGATCCTGGAATTCCAGGATCGAGGCCCATGTTGGGCTCCCTGCTCTGCCGGAAGTCTGCTTCTCCCTCTGACCCTCCCCCCTCTCATGTGCTCTCTCTCTCTCTCATTCTCTTTCTCTCAAATAAATAAATAAAATCTTAA